GGAGGGAGATGTTGAAGAACGCGGCGGATGCCATGCGTAGTAGGATGGGGACCACAGTGTCTATTCCACTTAGTCATCCAAACGTCATAGAAAAAGAAAACACGAGAAACCCGCAAACTTACAGAAGATGAACATCGTCAAGGTGAACCCAGTCATGTACCCGCCAACTTTGGAGTTCCAGTTTGCGGTACGGAAACTACTTCTGTCGAAGATACCAGCTTGGGCGCCGTTGATCAACATTCCCCAGAACCCAATCTGTCCGATGACCTCATACATAGGTTTTTTCGACACCAGGAACTCTTCAAACACGTTGCTGAAACCATAAAATGTTGCTCCAAGCAACATGAAAAGATCTCCCTTCACCTCAGTTGGTACTCCACCGAGTGCACTACCATTTTTGGCATCATTCGCAAGCAAAAGACCGAGACCTCCGCAGCAGATCAAGATGCCAAGGACTTGGGTCCACTTGTAGCGCACATGGAGGAAGAAGAAGGAGATGATCACGACGACGACAATAGCCCAGAAGTTGATTAGTTGGGCACTGAGAATTGTCGTGTAGCGGTATGCAAGGACCACGAAATAATTGCCTTCTACATCAAGGAACGCCATGATTATGTCTGTGATGAAGTGGTCAGTGGGTGCGTCTCATTACGACAAGGCGGGGAAGTGGGGGCGGGTGAGATTACATCGCCACCATTCTTTCGAAACCATCTTGCACCATCCTTTGAATCCATACTTATACAGGGTGTAGGAGGTGTACACAAGGTTGAGCAGAACGTAGTTGAAGAAGGACTGGAACGCGGGTATTGAGGTTCCTTCCATCCCAAGAAGACCGGAAAAGGTGTTTGTAGAGGTGATGCATAGTGATAGTATTTGTCTATATCTTGTTAACTTCCAATATCTCTCCCCATTCTCTTCTACAAAATTATGGGTTATATTCATACCCTATCAGCAGAACCAACCAAAATCGCGGCGACTTGATATAAGCAAATCTTCCTTTGGGGGGAGTATTCTCCGTGCTTGAGCTTTCTACCGGCGACGCAGGTAACTCCGCATGCGGGGAAATTTTGGAGTCGTCTTCGGGATACATCGTGTTGTGAAGGACCTAAGCTAACAAGCTACTGTAGTTGAGGACTTTGGCGAGGCTTTTGTAGTCGCTAGTGGGGAGGGGGTAAGTTAATTAGGTCAGGGTTTCGCAAGAGGAGTTCAATTGTCTGGCCGCAGGGGACCGTTGTGTCTCTTGACTTAACACAGTCTCAGACTGAGCTGCACAGTTGTGAACAGGAGGGTGTGAGGAAGAAAAAGGAAGAAGGAAAAAAAAAGCACAATTTCCAGAGGGAAATGTTACCTGTCTAAATAGTCACCAATCCTAGTAAGGTACCTAGGCACTCTAAACTACATATATCATGCAGCTGCCCGCGATGGCGGGACTGCACTTCATCCCTTCCTGGTCAAGCCCAAGCAAAAACAACCCGTGCTATCTCGTGAGATTAGGCGAGTGCCGAGGGCTAGCTTTACTTTGTCGCCTATCGCTTGAACTATGCCTGGCAGAGCAGTGGCGGGTACGGCGCCGCCTCTTGGGTGAGCATCCGATTCGGAAATATTTACCATGATGTTTTCCAGTCATGTTACTAGAGCTGCTGTTAGGTAAAGCTATGTACGGCCTGAAGACGCTGTCGGTGGCGCATAAAGTCACAAAGCTGTGAACTTCATCATGCAGGTAGATCCTAATATGGGCAACAAAAACCATATTGGACCTACCGACCACCATCAAATATTTCTCGCCTAATGATATTTTATTTCTCCAGTTAAATGTTGGATATTTCGCGATCGTTCGAGGATTTGAGTAACTACTCTACGCCTATCAAATAACGCAAGACATGAGGTTGAATATCGGCTTACTACCTTTGGAGTAATAGGAACACCTGATAGAAAACGCCACAAGTGCCAACCAGCTGGAATGCGCAGCACGCGTGCATGCCAATTTTCGATGCTTCCCTGCTCACAATTTCAAAATTTCAAAAACTGTAACCAAGAACCAGCGTGTAACCATTAACTCTATTCTGGTAAGCGAAGTCGACGCTGCCGGTTGGTTTCTGTTTTACTGCCCCGCATTTTATCCTCTTGCGTCTCGTATGTGTTGAATTTACGGAATGCCCAGATAACTTTACACATTGGAATACCTACCTATGTACCGGGGGTTGAGGGTAAGTACTGAGAACCCCTTTTTGGGGAATTTTAAAAAGTGAGGGTTTGTAAAGGAATCTGATTGGGCTGATATAATTAAAATGACACTTGGCAGCCAAGCAGGTATTTGGATAGTCTGCCCCGCAGCTTTTGCAACGCAACCTCCTCAACCTCTTTTCTACTCTTGTTCTTTTCGAACTTTACCAAAACTTCTTTGATAACTTCGAATCAGTACTCAGGTGAACCTGTGAGCAAGGGCTATTCAGTGGTTATTTTTTTGTATTTTTAGGAAAATATTTGAATTTTTAAGTGACGATAGATAAAACGTCTCGGTACTTTTTTTCCACCATATAAATTTTGAGGCCAAGGCCAAAATTCATTGGCTGCTTTTGGTTACCATGGGCGGTTCCCATGCAAAATCAACCAATCCTTCAAGGCGTCTCGGTATTTAACGTGCACACCCGGTACATTATGTAGACCCCTCCTCAGTAGAGTACCAGGACGTAGGATCGGAGATACCGAGAGCCAAACAAATTTTGTCCCCAACATTCGGGTCTTTGCGGCGTGATAAATATTGTGGATAGGTTATTGGCTATTGTTATCAATCTCTCCCGGATACCGGTGGTGAAGCCCGTTTGATGCGGGTCGCTTGTTAATCACTGGCATTGGGTCAGCGGCACGTGGCTTCGCGAGTGCAAGGCTGCGATTCGACGATTGCGGACCTTTTGCACTTCAATATTGCACATTGTTAGTATGTAATCGGGCTGCAGTCTCATGCAAATAACCAATAGCCAATAGTAACAGGGGGGAGAAGTTCCTAAAGTCCTTTGGGTGACGGGATTGTTCCTGCATTGCTAGTATTCTGGGTCGGTAACAGGAGCCTCCTGGAAAGATTGAAACGATAAGGAAAGGTCGAAATATAGCTATTTTGTCTTCGAGCAGGGTATCTAGAGATCCACCGATGGTGATGGTCTAATAGCATGCCATTCCGTAAAAAGAGAGTACATAGTCCATTACTTTAGCGGGTCTCGTGGTTACTGGTTCCCAGGTACGTAGGAGGTTGGAGGGGAACATATATGGTTCGAGAGAACAGGGTATAGCTAATGGCGTTCACTACATTACAGCGAATGAGTATATATGCGTTGTGCATAGGTAGTAGAGGAATGTTCTTTGGATAACCATTGGTGCCGTAATGGAGTATAAATGGAACACTTCTGTTTGTTGCTTTGTACATAGCTTCGAAGCCTCAGAGAATGTCCTTAGGGTCGGTATCCGAGTATGTAACTGATGGTAGCCTCTGACATCCAGTATGTCAGGCTTAGGAGTTGGACATTAAAAGTACATGTATGCACTCAGCGGAAGCTTTTGGTGGCTGGTATGTTAGAAGTCTGTCTGGATTTTATCAGTATATAGCGAACTAAGTGAAAGGAATATTCTCCGCCGTATATCAATTTATATCCTACAGACTGCTCGAGTGAGTCGGTAGAGCCATAGCATACGAGGAAAGGTTTAATGAGCTTGGGGCGGTGGTGGGGGACCACATCATGACCCCGCCATCACAACAATCCTTGGCAGCCTCACCTCCTACACTGATACGTCCTAGATCTAGCTTCCTTGGTCCTTCTTCCGCGTACCAATACATTTGTGCCAACCGTGATTTCGGTTACAGCCACAAGTTCGACAGCATTGGGATTTTGTCTCCCCAGAAATTTGCTATTATAAACCTTTTGGATTGGCTTCTGGTTTGATGCGAATGGCTAGAAGCTGTGGATACAGATTGTCTCCGTGATTCGGCCTCGAAAGGTCAACTTTAGCCTTTAGTATGCTCGGGGAAGTAATGACACAAACAGGCCCAGTGCATACAAGGATGAAGAGATAGATGTCAATTGGAGACACTGTAATCCGAGGCACATAAATTGTTTAAAAATGTCTGGCTGGATCCAGAGTGGCTCATCAAAGGCACCAAATTGATCGATCGAGTTGTTTCTTTGAGCCTACCGCATGTCAATCACATTCGAGTATCGATATACTTGATCAGCTGCACCCAAGGCGTCAATCCGAACAGGTGTTGATAGGTTGAAAGTGGAGTACCACTAGCCGGTCTACATAGCTGCACAGGATGCAATCAACTGGTAAACATATATTACGAGACATGCACTAGATTTACAAATACACTATCAGTCTAAGAGATCTTGTGCAATTAGTTACCCCGGAGCTCCCGGTGCTCTTGGGTTGTCGAGAAGTAGTTATCATATTGCTTGAAGAAGAAGAAGGCGCATTGATACAGATGTTCCGGAACGGACTGGTTGAGTTAAGAGCGTCCATGGCTTTCCACAACTAATAGCATGTGACCCTATTTTAAAGATCTAGTCGGCTTTCACACGAGGAAAACAGCGTTCAACCCACTAGCTCACGCGACAGAGATTCCAGGACGCAAGAAACGACCACTGTATCCTAAAATCGATTTTTGAAAGCTAAAGTTACGAAAAAGAATTCGTTGTACTATGCTATTCGCCAATCTCCAAATCGTCTTAAACCAGCCCGCCAAGGGCGGATGGAATCGGCCCCGGCAAATTCACATATCCGACATAGGTGAGCTGGTACTTGTTCTTCCTAGCAAAGATATAACCTCAGGTTCTTCAAAATCTTGAGATATTCCTCAATAGTACAATAGAACTTCTGTACGACGTGAAAGTCCCAACTTCTTTTGGGAGTGGCCTGGATTGTAACCCCCCATTACGATTAACAAAGCAGTTGATGGTTGTTATAGTCGGAAAATCCCTCAATCAACCTGATGCCTTGATCCCAAGGTCCTACTTGCAACTTTCTAGCATCTTGCCCACGACACCCATCAAAGTTTCATTTTCCAGCGCACTGGCAACTCTCTCCTTGTCATTCAATTGCTTGTTCACCTGATCCCCGGTTGCATGTGTTCCCTCCCGTATCCTCACATCCAGCCTAAATCGTGGCGGGAGCGCTTGTTCAAGTCTGACTCGTACTCCCAGCCCAATGACCGTGGCGAGAGAACAGTGATTGATTGTTGGTGTAAGTTCAACAAGAACACGTCCTGTCAGGCTTGACGGATCATCGGTGACTTGGATATGCGGAAGATTTACAACTGCGAGTTCGCCGAGAGTAAGAGGGTGCTCGGGGTCGGAGATTGTGGCGATTAGGTCTGGTGGGCGGTAGAAATTAGTATGGGAAAGAGGGGGAAGATGAGAATTGCCCTTACCATAGATCTCCTGCTCGTCAATCTTCTCAACTACTGAGTCGTCTTCGCTTTCATCGTCGTCTGAGCTCGAGTAGTCGGCTCCCGTACCAGTGGCGAAAGGATCTCTGGTGTATGCGGGGACTGTTCCGGAGAGCAAACTTGACGGCGAGGACTTTTTCTGTTCAAGGCGCCGACTGGGGAGGTCGGACACACTGAGAATTGTAGGATTGGCGTTTTGGGTCTCCATGGTTGCGAGGTGAGGGGATGGGGTTGGATGGAGAGATGGTGGGGCTGAGATAAGAGCGTGGTGATTGAGGTCTTGGCAGAATTATGAAACCGGTCTTATAAATTATACTAACCTTCTTTGGGCGAGATTATTACTAGGTAGTACGTGAAGTTAAATTCAGTAATCCAAGAGCAGCCCCGAGTCGCAAATGCAGTTTTTAGAAACGAGCGCTAAGTCAAGGGAATGTCCAATCCACATAACGTTGTCGGAATCTATTAATTTGGGGCGGAATACGATTGGAAGGACTTGGGTGGAATCGCATCCTCATCTACGAGAGTCTAGAGGTAGTGTTCTACAGATCTTACTACAGTAATACTTACTTGGTATATCATCCAGTACTGGCCGCAGAAACAAAAATCTGCAAGCTAAGAAAAACAACAGCCATGAACTAAAATGCACAACAGCATTTTTGCTATCTTGTTGTGAGCCCAGCTAGCGTTGTAGCTATATATATTATCTTCCAATTAGTTGAGTGAACGAATGAACCTCTATATCTCCATTCATTTTCAATACTGCCGTCGAAAGCTCGTGATCATTCTCGGGAACACTAGCATCCGATTTCGCTATGCTTTTTGGCCCGGTAAAGATGATAACTGCCTAAGGTGGACGAAAACTGGGAGCCAGCGATTATCGTGTTCCTATAGGGTTGAATTTCCAACTCTTTCGCTTGAATTGACATCTAGGACTCGCGGAATTGGATTATGAGTTTGTAAAGATCTCGGTGCCGGGGAGCGCCTTATAAGCAAGCAATGTTTGTTCCCCTGCGTCTAGCAGGAACGCACATAGTTATTCTCATCTCGAATAGACTTGTTGAGAATAATCGAGGACTAGGTTGGCCCGTGTTTTCGTCTCTCCTAGAATCCTGAGCTAGCCTACTTTAAATGGTTCCGCGGGCTGAGGGTGTAGGGTTGCTCGGCCTCCTGGGAAACCCCACAAAGGCGTCCGGAATTCGATGAAGCGTGGATATGTTGAGCCATGGCCAAAACATTAAGATTTGTTTGAGATCTTAAGATCATTTAGATTTACTGTGCGCAACGTCCCCGGACCTCGATCAAGACCGAGGGAATATTCAAGATCTTAAACGAACTAGAAATGGAGCTCACACAGAGTCAATTAGCACATGTATTTTTTTACATCTCCAGCGGATCCCTTTGGTATCTATATCTGTTACGACAAGTTATTGTTTACAACCAGAAAGATAGCATATAGCAAAGGTTTTTTGGCGTGGTTTCCAGATCTGATCTGCCGATGTTGCCAAGACACCATACAATCGAGTGATAGACCATGACGCACCATTCCTGTTCGGGGTATGTATGTGCGCAACATCCTCCATGATCAATTAGAAAATCAACGTTGTAACAACAAGATATAAACCGCATCTTTGTTGCGTCTCCTCTAGCTAGCTAGCTACATGTAAACAACTACCTCTATAAAGAGAGTAGCAAACATTGAAGCAACCGTAGTTGTAAAGTACAAAACGCTCATATCCCTTCGTGCGTTTCACGACATGCGGTAATTGGTGGCTCACCATACAAGTTGTAGAAGCTAACAGCAAACATCGGCTGGCGGCGCAAGATTGACCCACTTGTCACGCAAAATTGCTCTATAAGGTAGTTGAGTATACTGCTTTTCGTTAAAATTGTGTCTATCACGGCGCCGTCGTGGGCCTAACATGTTGTGATTACCGGGAACAGACGAAGGGATACCAACCGTGAAAATATGTAAAACCAATATAAAACCCAAATAAATATAAAACATAAGAAATAAGAAGATAAAGCCATACAGCAAGTAGCGTCTTCTCTCCATATATATGCATGCATATATAGCTGGATCAACCTTGGTTGTAGGTGGGTCTAATCTGAATTGTAGTGTAGTATAGTAAGATATAAGAGGAAGAAAGCGAATAGAAGGAATGGAAGATAGGATATGTAAAATGAATAAGGAGTGTAAGATGGTATGTAATCGGGTAGAGGAGTAAGTAAGAGTGAGGTGGTTAATGTTGAAATGGGTTCAGGCAAGAAGAGGAAGTAAGACGATGATTGATTGTATTGATCTATCGAATACAAGAAGAATTAAGTCCGCTATTTTATAGTGTAAACAAAATGCAATTGTTTAACACGTGTATACTGTTCAAGAAGACAGTCACAAAAGAGCTTAGAACACACATAGCTGACGTGACAATACGTTCAGTATGAACAGAATCAACGAAGCAAAGAAACAAAGCGAATATTGTTAAAAACAACAGTTAATATATTTAAAATATATATATGACAACTCATCTCTATAGATGTTTTATTCAATCTTTTTGAAAGAATGACGCAGATGGTGAATATACCGGGATAACACCCCCAAAGCCTATATGTGAAATTTATATATGACAACTCATCTCTTTAGATGATTTATTCAATCTTTTCGAAAGAATAACGCAGATGGTAAATATACCGGGATAACATCCCCCAAAGCCCATAAAAAATAATAAACAAAACCAAAATGAGGGGGAAACAAACGAACCTCCCAAACTATAAACTAGAATAGTTATCAAAAACCACAGAGAAAAACAACGCATTTCCAATGCTTCCCCCAAAACTAGGCACAAGGTAACCTCTCAAGATCACCTTTCCCCTCCTCCAGCCACGTCCGATCAATGAGCTTCGCGCGATCATTGTACAAGTGTTTATACGCATTCCTGATCGTTGGCTCACCCACGCCAGCCACTTTCGATATCTCTTTCGTGGTTCTCGACGTCCCCAACAGATGGCCGATCATATAGATACACGCCGCTGCACCACTAATCGGCGACCTCCCCGCCACACTCCCTAACTCCGCAATCCTCGCCGCCAGGGCCACCGAGACCGCCGCACACCGCTGATCCATCTTCAACGCACTACAATATCTATGAATGAGCTCACACGGCTTCGTCGTCTCCGTAACCTTATACCCTCCATCCCCAGCCCCCGCCTCCTCCGGCCCCTTCCCCTGCTTATTAAAGAACTTCTCCATCACCTTATACACCCTCCCAATGTCCTTCTTCGGCACGTTCGTCATCGCAAACACCTCGCGGAATGTCCTCGGCACGCTACACTGCCTGCACGCCAAAAAGATACACGCCGCCACCACGGCATCCACCGGCTTTCCGCGGATCACCTTTGCGTCGTCGATCTGCTTGAATAGCGTCTTTGCCGTTTCGACGACGACATTCTGGATGCTCATGCCCCCACAGAACGCACCGATACGCTCATAGGCCACGAGCAGTGACTGGTCAGCCTTACTCTCCGCAGTGCGGGCCTGTGCGCGCTGTAGCACCCGCCCACTCGCCCCGCCGCTGGCGGCGGTGGTGGTCTTGGTTGTCCTGGCAGGCTTTGTGTAGGCGATGGTTGTAGAGAGCTGCTCGCCGTGGAGGAGAGGGTTGATGCCGGCGCCGACGCGGCTGGGGTCTACCCCGCTGGTGTCGTCATTAGAGAACGTGCGCCATTCGGAGCGGGTGTCGACGATGCGGTCGCCCAAGACGAGGCCGCAGTCGCCGCAGACGACGTCGCCCTCGGAGTACTTTTCAATAGGGTTGGAGACGCGGCACTCGGGGCAGAAGTCGCTGGTGGAGGTGTCTAGGCTCCAGGCGGCGTAGGTTGCGGAGTGAGATGGGGGGATGTCGATAGTTGGTGGGGTGCTGAGGCTGGTGAGTTTCTCGAGAGCTTCTCTGAGGGCAGCCATTGTGGTGGTGGTGGTAATTTTACGGTAGTGTTTCCTTTTTTGGGAGGGAGTGGTGATTAACAATATATTGATGCAGCACAGTGGCCTGCTTGTCGTTTTTTATATGGCGGGTTGTAGATAGGCCCGAATTGGGGGTGCTAGAGAAATCAGGTTCTTAGCTGGATGCTCATGTTTGCTCCTCAGTGACATATTGGGGATGTTTGCTTGCGCATGTGATGATGATTTGGAAGGAAGAGGAAATTCGAACGAGGGTTGTGAATACATGGCGTTTGCGTTGGGTAAAAGACAGGGTTAGGGTTACACACCGAGTGATAAGTAGTGAAGAATGACGCTGTACCCGCGAGTAGCGAGCAGTGAGTGACCAACCTGATTGAGCTACCCGACGTAAAAAAATAAAAAGAAGAGAAAATGTGAGCGGAAGGTTTGATTATAAGATGAACTGGGTAGGAGATTAAAAGCAGCTATCCTTCCGGAGAGTAATGTTCTGTGATAACAAAGTTTCCACAGAGGTGGTTGTGTGCGAGCAAGATGAAGAGAAGAAAGAGGGAAAGAGGTCCATTCGACGATTTATTTTTCTTTATTGCAACGGCTGAATCATCGCTATCAGACTGGGTGCTTACCGAATTCTGTTTCGCGTATGTTGTGGTTGTGTGGACATCACGATCGAATGACGATGTAACGATGTTTGTTCTCGCCGCTAACATATATATAGCTACTCAGCGACCTCAGTGACCTCATCAATTTGACTCATAAGCTCTTTACACTATACCCTTCTTTAGTGAACATAGTTGTGGAATCTTCTTCCCATTTTACTTATCGAGTTACCGGAATAAAACCTTTTTTTTTTTTACGAGCTCTGGTCCGGCCTTAGGATATATTTGGCAGGTCACGTGCGGATGCGTTCCCATTTCAGTAGATTTTTCCACAGAGATTCAGAGACAAAAGTTCTGGACAGAGCTACATGTAGCTAGACTTGAATGAAGGGATGAGTCTACTTCAATTGCATGAGGAGCGAGGGTGAAAAGGAAAAGCGAAAGTCCGTCCCCGGAAATATACTACCTTGGTCGCGCGTCCAAGTTGCTACGCTTCTACACATTGTAAAAAACTTCTAGTTGACGTCTAATACTGTGTACAAGTGCTCTCGGCGGGGCTAATAGAAGCCCGCGTCCCCTTCCTTCAGAATCAGAATCTCAATGATGATTGCACAAGAAGTTGTGTAACCGACGTCATACACAGACTTTAAGCGAAGCCGAAAATTTCTGAGTGCTCAGACGAAAGACCTGCGGGCGGCCTCGACATTCCACGCAGCAGTGACCATGGGCGTACATGTACCACACCACACATCGGCCCCAAAACCAATACCCCAAATTCCAAATTACAAGCCGAGACCATGATAAGATTTAACTTTAACTCTAAGTTGCATGCATATAAAACAATCATGGTCCTTCGACCCAGCGGCCAAAGCTACATGTAGCGAAAATGACACCAATAACACATGACGCAAGATGCTATAGCCAACTATCATTGACCCCGAGGGTTAGGGATTCTTCTCCATCTTGGCACATAACCAAGGTTCAAGTATCGCTTCCAGCGTAGCATCCACTATGGGCGGGTGGTCTAGTTGGTTAGACTGCCCGTCGGGTTAGACACCGCGTGTTTGCCCCAGGACACACACAAGGTCCTGGGTTCAAACCAGGGGTGGGGGTAGTAACGCACAATGGGTAATAAGTCGTTACAGTACCTTTTGTTCTTTTTTGTGATGAAATAAATTAGGAGGCTATTTTGATATTTGATTTCTCGAGTAGAATTTTTATAGCGAACTGTGTCATTTTGGTCCATGTGTTATTGCAGAGCAGGTATACCGAAAACCGAAAACTGTATAAAAATTAGTATAATTATAGCGGCGTACACAACGTACCCGTCTGGTCTCATGATCGTCCTCCAATTGAAAAGCCATGACAACGCTCCCGCCGCCGGGACTGGCGCACGCATCCACTATGATATGATAGGACGGAAACCATCGTCATCGATTTTTGGTTTTCATATATAAGTTGCTGTTTGGTATCACATAATATCAATGCTATGATTAGCTGGCTGGCTGAATGGTGTCAATGACTTTGGCCCGCAGGCAAAAATTCGCATTGATGGTTAATTTCTCCTCGGAGGGCAGCTATCCACAGACAGGAGCTCTGGTTGGGACGGTTGATATGGTGTTGGGTTGGCTTGGTGCCATTCTTTGCTGGCAAGCTAGCGTACTACTTCGATTGTTTACTAGGGTAGACTTCGTCCAGATGCATGTTCGTTCAGGGTGCATTTCTTCGTTAAGGGTAGCTACATGTACGTTAGTAGCTGTAGCTGGATACATCTCTGGTTCATCACACCTCTGTTGGGCGCCGCCCTTTATAGGATGACTCAGTTCATTTCTCAACACTTAGGAGCATAGCGTCCCTGGACGCCGTTCAAGACCGCCGATATCAGAGACCGCATGGGAGACATTCACTGCAGACCTTAGTCCTATCTAATCAGCACCGCACAAGAACCACGACCCAACCGCATCTCACCTGCCAAAAAAAAAAAATGGTGAATTGACGAAAAATATACAGTACTTTTTTATATCCAACAAAAAGAACTTCAAAAAAGAAAAACTAAAATACAAGAATTACCCCCCCTCCCCTCTCCTTCTAGCCTAGATATTTCTATTTCTTCCCCCCCTTGCTCTTCTTCGACTTCTTACTCTTCCCGCTGCCAATCTCCTGCTCGTAGATCTCCGCGGCGGTTTCTCCGGCTTTGCGCTTGGACTGCTTGACGGTCTTGACGCTGACAACTGTGGTCCTCTTGCCTGCTTTGATCTGCTTCTCGGCGGACTCCCAGTCGGCGGTTTCGGCGGAGGGGATCTCGTATCTGTGGGTAGGTGTGTTAGCTCTGTTTTTCTCGGAAGTGAGGGAGTGAGGGAGTGGATATAGAGAAAGTAATGGTTTGAAACATCATGAATTTCCCATCTACCACTCCCCACTCCCTACTTAACATTCGGCCTAGGGGAAAGCACTAACTTTGACAAATCTAAACTATTGATAACCTCCCTCTTCATCTCCCTCTCCTTCATCTCCCTCATGACCTCCTCCCCGCCCTCCACTAGATCCTCCGCCAGCGTCTGCTCCATCGCCTTCTTCCCCGCCTCCTCCCCATCCCCTTCCACCGCAGCAGCCGCCTTGCCCGCTTTCTCGCTCGGCAGCCCCTCCGCAATACTCTGCGCCAGCAAGCTCCGGAAATACATCGCCACCTTCCTCACAATCTTCTGAAACATGGCCAGCACCTGCGCGCTCGGCAGCCCCAGCTCCTTCTCCACATCCTCCAGCGTCTTCCTCTGCAGACCGATCGCCAGCAAAATCGCATGCTGTATCGACGACAAGTTCACGCCGGCCCTAATCCGCCCGTCAAAGAACAGCTGCGCAATAAGCGGGATCATGTCCAGTATCACATGGTAGTCTAGCATGTTATCGGCATAGCTCTCGAGGCGCTTCAGATCAAACGGCGACAGCAGCTCGTCCAGCTGTCCCTTGGTAAGCGGGTTCACGACAGCGCCGCCGCTGCGCGCGCCCGCCGTCGCGCTCTCGAAGATGGTGAGCGCGAGGACGCTGGGGAACTTGCGGAACTCGTAGGAGAGGAGCTGCATCAGGCGTCTGTGGAAGTCCTTTGCGAAGGCGGCGAGCCAGGCGTTGTCTTTGCCCTCGAGCGTGCGGATCATCACGCACGTGTGTTCGCCGGTCAGCTCTGTCGCAGTCTGGCGGAGGTAGACGGGCGCGAACTTTGCCTTCTTGGCCCAAAACTTGTGCAGGCAGTCCGTGAGGCCGTAGGAGACGCCGAGATAGTCGAGCTCGTCGGGGCGGCGCTCGTTGAGGCGGAGGAGGAGGGGTGGGAGTGACTCGCGGTCGCGTATCTTGATAGCCTCGGTCTTGAGGTCTGCGGCCTCAATCTCCTCGTCGGTGACGCGGACGAGCTCCTCGTTGACGTATGTAGCGTCCTCGCCGAGGGGCTGGAACTTGCCCTCGTAGAAGTCCGTGAGGAGCTGGAGCGCGCGCTGACCGTAGCCCATGCCGGTGTAGTCTGGGTTTGTGGCGATGCGGACGACGCGGGCGCCGCTGAGGCCGGCGAATTCGTCGTCTTGGAACTGCTGCGAGACGAGCCAGGGGATGAGGTCGCCGCCATCGCGCTTGCCGCGGCTGAGCGCTGCTTGTACGGATTCGCGGGAGATGCGGCCTTCGAGCGCGACTTGGATGATGCAGAGGGGGTCGGGGACGCGGCCGTCTTCGGCGACGGGGGGGAGGAGGACGTAGAGTTGGTGGGCAGGGGCGTCGGACATGAGTTGTAGGTCGTTGGGGGAGTTTTTGTAGTGCGAGGCGACGTAGAGCCCCATCATGCGCTGGAGGAAGCGCTCAGAGACCGGGTGGTATGAGAAGAGGGTATCGCGGTTTACGTAGAACAGCTGGCACTTTGCGGGGTCAGGGGTGCCGTGCAGGGTGGACTTGTTGGTGGGGAGAGTGGCATCAAGGCAGAGGAGGTTGTTGAGCCATTTCTCTACGGGGTCGTTGGGGGCATATCTGATGGGCTCGCTGAGAGTTGCTTCTCGGAGGGTTCGTCCACCGCGGCTGATGTTTCCAGAGTCTGAGCGCTTGTTGGCTTTCCCGTCACGGGAGGCGGCCTCTCCTTCTGTGGGGAGCTTGCTGATGCCGCGGGATTGGTCGCGGAGCTGCTGGATCAGCTTGAGGGAGAGAGATCGGCCGGTTCCTTCGTATCCGTTGATTGTAGAGGCCATGAATACCAAGTAGGGCCCCATGAGTTTTCGTACAAGTGGCAATGGAATAGCAGCGGCTTCATCGATAACGACCAGCTCGGCCTGGCCGAGAACGTGAGCATCTTGCGGCTGGATGTACTGGATTGTCTGTCTGTGCTGGCGGTGGATGTTGACTCGCACGATGGCCTTGTTGAACGCCGGGTTGGTA